CTGTATCTAAACAGAGCATATTGCTCCAACTCAGCTACGATCTAATCTTAATTTCCTATAGCATGTCTTTAGTATTTCAGTTCACTGTGTTGGTCACAAAAGGGTAGAATCTACAAGCACACTTCAGAAACTGTGTAGACCAAATGAAACTTGAAATTTTGGCAAATATCCTTTACCCTTAAAGAAAGAGGGTGCATTATGAAACTCAAGATACTGCAAAGTGCTTGGTTTGTAAATAGATACCCAATGCTGTTGCTTAGACAAGATAAAAGCTAAATGTAGTAATTAAAACAAATGAGTCCTTCTGTCAGGCAATTCTTTGAGAAGGTGGCAGCTGACAGTGAATATTTTATCTAGGAAATTATGCTCTTGTGGTAATATAAGGTATGCTGTAACTTAGTTTATAATGTGAAACTGTTTTCTACTTGATTAGTGGTACTTGTGTTCAATGTGTGGAGGATGCTGAAAAATCTTCAGGTATGCCATTTACCTAATGCACTGCATTTTATGCATAGCATTAGGCTGTAAAAGGATTGGTTACGTTGGATCTTAGGATTTTAAATATAACAAATCAGTCCTTGCATATCACTAGCTTTTAGGGGAGTTGTCCTCAGCTACTGGTGTATGTTTACTAAAACCTGATTTTTTTTTTTTTTAGTAGTTTCATTTCTTGAACAATACAAACCAATGAAACTATACAAAATGAAGCAGAAAAGAGTACCAAATCTTGCTTTGGAATGCAGTTGTTAGGGGAGAGTGGATAGTTAAATGCTTTTGATGGAAATCAAACATGAATAGGCATATTGAGGATGAACACTAAAGCACTGTGCTTCAGGACAGGCTCAGTCAGACTGTCAAGTTACCAACAATTAACCCTTTATTTTCAATTTGTTGCATACATTTAGTTTTAGCTTTTAATTCACCATTTCCAAACTAACTCTTCTACCAGAAAAAGAGATTTGTCACTGCCTGAGTGTTGGCAGAGGCAAGGGCAAGGTCAGAATGCATTTCCTTGTAAGTGTAACAACAAAGTGTATATTGGATTTTCTTACCTTAGCAAGCCAGATAGAAAACACTTTAAAGCCTGTTCTGAAAAGTTGCCCTGAGGATTTCAAGTCAAAAAAAAAAAAAAAATCATGCTGGTTGGAGGCACCAAGGAGAGTTCAACTGTATAGGAGCACTTACAAAATTCTCTTCTAGATTTGTAAGAGAACAATTTTAGAGACGGATATAATTTTTATGTTTACGGATCCTGCAGAGCCCACTGCATGGAAGAAAATGCTAAAGTTATTGCAGGAGAACAGAATATTCTATATGTTCTCTGTTTGCTATTTTTAATTGGTGACTTACATGGCCTCTCAGAGCTTGATGCAAATAATAAAACACTGTTGGCAAGTGTGTAATAACTCCTCCACCATCATTTTCTTCCATTAGAGTTTTTGTACTCATCTTCCACAGGATCTCAGAAAAGTCTGCAGAAAAATTTTCTCTGGCATACAAGAACCCTGAAGAGCTAGAGGCAAGCAAAATTTGCTGGAAATACGTAGATGACTGAGGTCTGTCTCCCTGAGAGTATCTTGCTGAAAGCTGTTCCTGCTGTCAGACAAGCTTTTGTCTGAGCTGTTTGAGTTCAGTCTGCTGCTGAGCAGCCTACTAAGAGGAAACAGTTATGATGGTCAATAGATAGCTGTGTGATTGGAGCTGGACAATTAACTGTTAGCACACATATATAGCTATAGGTTTATTTGTGAACAGTCTTTACCATAGGATTTTCAATATTGTCATATGCTAAGTTTATTAAAATTGTCTAAGTTCCAAGTGCTAATTGTTCTGGGAGGTTAAAGATTAATACTACTGTACAGCTGCTATAATCACAGTAGAGGCAAAGCTTTAATACCTAAAGCAGATGTTCAGCCCAGTAGTGTCTAAAATAATACTCTAGCCTTTAACTGATGTGTTTCTGTAATCATACATTCAATACAATACATTCTGTGTGCTAGCCCTTTTCACAAGGGAACATTTTCTGTCTTATGCTAGTATAATTGTGTGGTACATCTGTGCTTTACCTGGGCTTTTGTTACAGAATGTGGGTAATGCTTTAAAATTACTAAGAAAGTGTCTAAGAATGTGCTCTACATTAATTTTTTGGAAGCTATTCTTAATGATGCAGGAGTGAAGGATGGCTTTTGCCATGTAAGTGCATTTTACAGCCATTGGTTCCAACTTAAAAAAAAAAAAAAAATTAGAACTGCTCCCTCCTTAGTCTCGTGAAAAGGATGCTTCAAATGCTTCCATCTCCAGTTGTTTTCACTGGTAGTTGGCGTTGGCTAATGTACCTTTTGCCAGGGTCAGCCCTGGTTCTCTCTTCAGGCTGGGCTATCACCTGCAGCACAGAGGCCCCGGCACAGGCTGGAGGGAGAAGGGCTCCTAGCAGCAGCTGAGCAATTATTACGTGGCAAACACTTTTCACTGCCTTATGGGACTGCGTGTTATTTTCCCACCCAAACGAAGCTCAGGGGCTAGTGCACCCTTGGTTTGCGTTTCTTTCTTGGTCCGGGGTTGGTCCTTTTATAAAGTGCTGAGTTGCCTGAGCCAACACTGGAAGGCTCAGTAAGGGGGGCCCGGGGAGAAGAGGATCCCTAAATCCTGTCAAGGAACTTCATGTGCTTCTGAAACTATTCTTCTGCTATTTTGCACGTTTTTACAATACTGTGGGAAAAACCTAGGGTTCTCTCTCAGAGCAGGTATGCTTCCTCCTGGGGGGAGGTACGGCTGTGCCTGGCAGCCCGGCTGCCTCTGGCCGCTCCCCTGCTTCCCTCCCGGCTCCGGTGGAGGCCGGGCTTCCTCACTCTCGCAGGTGGATCCCGGCTCCCGTGCCTCCCCCAGCGGGTCGCGGGCGGCGGCCCGGCGGGCCCCAAGCACCGCCCCGGCGGGCGGTGTGACGAGCGGCACCGCCCGGTCGCTCTCGCCTACCCGGGCCGCGGCGGGCCCGCTGCCGCCCTCCCCCGGCGCCGCGGCGGGCGGGAGGATGGAGCAAGGGCTGTCCGCCATCACCCTCTACTGCGCGCCCGCCGCCAGCCCCGCGCCCGCCGCCGGCACCATGGAGCCCGAGCAGGTGAGCGGGGCGGCGGGGCCTGGCCCCTCCGGGCGAGCAGCGGGGCCCGGGCGCTGCCGCTTCCGCAGCGGGGCGAGGCCGCCGTGGGTCCGGCCGGGGGTGGGTGGCGGCTGCGGCCTGACCCCGCGGGTGTGCGGGGCGGGGAAAGCCCCCGTTCATGGCTGGGGCACGGGGGCCTGGCCGCGGGAGGAGAGGTCGGCGTGTCGGCCGGTCTGTGCTCCCATCCAGCGCCCTGTAATTACAGCCAGCGCGGCGGGCACGCGTGTCTCCGGTGTCTCCTGTTCTCCGGGGACAATGCCTCTGACAAACGAGCCTGATGAATATTAAAGCGAGACAGGTTTCCACTTCCCTCCGCGCTGTGAAGTTGGCGAAGGCGTGGGCCATGGTGAGGGACGGCGGCTGTTAATTACACCTCAGCCCCGAGCTCGCCTGTCCTGCCGCGCCTGCCCCTGCACCGGCCGCGGCTTCGCCCTGGGACTTAGAGGCGCTGCCGCTTCACTGGTTATGGTGCTTTTCCAAGGCTTGTTTATTCTGAGGGTGTCTTTTCTTACAGTCGTCCTCTGACTCTGTAATTTTGTTGTCTTCTGTTCTGAGAAAGGCTCATGCTGTTTTAATTTGAAACACAAGGGTGGGAAGTCAGGCAAGCAGTATGAAGAAAAACCCTCACCCAAACCTAAACAAACTCCTCCTAAACCCCTAGCCAGAATAATTAACACAAATCAGTAGGGTAGCCAAGATAGCATGTTAGAAATACTTTTCATTAACCAATACCAGCCTT